CATTTATGTTTCCTACTCATTGAATATAACTGAAAGGAATGTATGAACACCAAAGATTACAGATCTAATTTCTTCTTAAATTTCCCCCCCTTGACTTCTAAGCAACTGGAAAACAAAATTAGAAAGATTTTTGTCCTATTTTTTTTAAAATAAAGCACAGAATACCTAATGTTGCAGAACTCTAGCAAGATTAGAATTAAAGTATACAATTAGATTGTCATTTATATGCTACACATTATACTGATGTGTCTTAGTTTACTCAGTATATACTTTTAAATTCACTGTTCAGTCTACATAATGTACTGTAACATACTATACACTCATTGAAAGCAGATCAAAATACATATCAATCCACCTCTATTTTAAAGGCAATGCACTTAATTTTCAAATCTATTACAAATTTGTCTTTCCTTATGTATTTTGAAATCACAAATAGAACAAATTAGGATAAATACCTACTGAGCTTTCATCTTACAATTAGTTTTATTACAATCTGAGCTCAAAGCCTCCCTTTCTATTTTTCTAATGTAAAATACAGATAGTTATACTTACAGCTATTAATACAGCTATTACAGACCCAGTAACTAATATTGAAACATTGACACCGTCATTGATAACATCAGTAGGAAGCGTAACAGGAAGGATCCCTGTTTTGGAACACTGTTAGTGATAACTTCAGTAGGAATTGTATCAGGCAAGGATTCCTGTGTAGGAACACTCTTAGTGATAACTTCAGTAGGAAGCGTATCAGGCAAGGATTCCTTTGGAGGAACAAACAGAGCTGCCTGTACTACATTAGACACCTCTGAGGTCAGGGAGGCATTATCAATGGCACGTATTGCAAAGTAGATTATGGTGCCATTTTCTATTGTGACATTTTCCGGTTTAAACTGAAATGATTCTTTGGTGCCGGCAGGTTTAGGTATCAGACTAGAGGTATTCACTGAAGTAGCATCTTCAAAGGTGTTTCTTAAGTCCAGAAGACTTTCACTCATTTTTATTATGTATCTGTCAGCTGGAAAAAGCAAGGAATACAAGTAAAAGTGTGTTAGTAATGCCTATTACACTATCTGTAAATGCAAGCACAGTACAGGATTTGTAGAACAGTTTTGTATCTTTATAAGAACTCCAATGATACTCCATTATCATCCCTACCATTTTACCCACCCTCATTATTGATGGGCCTGCTTAATTGACTAATATCCGTTCTCTGTAGAGCTCTGGACAGGATTCCTGTTAGAACTTATCAGTTCCACATTTTATTTGGGTCAATAGTCTACTGTTAACTGATGTCGGGCTTTTCCTCCCTTCATGAGCACTAACCACATTATATTACCAGCACTCTTAGCTCCTGCTGGGCAGATGAGTCTTCCACATGGCAGTGCAGATAACTGCCATTAAACTGCCTCTCTCCCCCACACTTCACACAAGTCTCTATAGTACTAAAATGGAAACATAATTTTTGGATGAGAAATTAAAATAAGATTTCTTTCACTCGTCTCTGGTGAGTATCCAGGTCAAGTATAAGATCAAACAGTACAGGGAGAGATCCCTGCATCCTGGTCAGCATTCCCTCTCTTAATGTGAGCAGGTTCTAAAGCATAGGCTGAGAGACAGCAAAATGCCTGCTCCATTTGCAAGCATAGTTAGTGTGTCAGGGATTTTGCTGCAAATGTGCCTGGCTTCCCACTGTCCACAGTTATCATTTCAAGGCTGTATGGTTCTGTTCTGCTCATGGGTTTTCTAGTTCTTTGCTTGATTTGAGTTCTACTTCCTGCTCCTCATCTTCTTTTCTATCCCTTCAGAGATGGGGTAAGGGGTAGCATAAGAGTGATCAGAAGATCTTCCTAACTGAGGTTATTCTTCCATTGCTGGCTACTCTAGCTGTAAGGCTGTTTTGAGCCAGACGAGTAGAGCAAAGTAACCACATAGAAGAACCTAGGCCAGTGTTTTGGGGATTTAATGGAGTTGTTGGTTTGTTCCCTGGTGAGCTGGTTGGCAAGAGCTGTAGGTGTATCTAAAGATTTTAATCTGAAGCGGCTCTCTGTGTGACTGCAGACTGCCTGTCTTAACCTCTCTGGCTTGTGCTGATGTGCACACTATAACATAATCTGGTTACAACATACTTGAAATATACATTATGAACAAGACCTAACTGTGTCCCCATAAATGGACTAAAGCCTTGGACTGTCCATGTTGTAACTGGGTCCCCTGACTTATTTACAGTTGCAGTAGGCTAAGCCTTGGAAAAGTCACTAGTGAGTATGTTTTTGATTTAACTTGTTTTCCTTTGTAAACTAGCATAAGGCTGGTTGGTATACAGGTTTTGCATTTTCTGTTGTACCAGGTTTGGGAGAACAGGCACTGACTTTCGTTTTTCTACACTACCACTCTGCCCCGAGGCCCCACCCTCAATCCACCTCTTCTCATGAGGCCCCACCCTCACCCCACCTCTTCCCCTGAGACCCCACCCTCACCCGTCTCTTGCCACCCCCACTCTGCCCTCTCCCCCGAGTCCCCACTTCTTCCCATCCTCTTTCCCTTCCTCTTCCCACTGTCCCCTGCCCCATCCCCTTCTCTTCCCACCACCCCATCCCCCTACCCCTGGCCACCAAACAGCTGATAGGCAGCTAGCCTTGGGGTCCTTCTGAACAGCTGATTGGCAGCCAGCCCCGGGACCCTGCTGAGCCACTGTGACTAGTGGGTGCTGAGCTCCCCCTATTTTTCCATGGGTGCTTGAGCCCTGGAGCACTCACGGAGTTGATGCCTATGTTTGGGAGTGTTCCGTGTTTCTTTAAACATTTTTTTAAAGCATTAAGTGGGACTAATGTGAATATCATATTGAATATGTAATTTATTGGTTACACCGAGTCCTGATCTACACTAGGAAATTTTACAGAGAAAATCTAGAGTAGGTCAAGCCATAGCGATGGTCATATTTTTTGCAGATGGGGAAGACATAGCTTTTTTCCTCACCTCTCCTTGGCTGGCTCATCATATGTAATTTCAGATAACTGACAATACTGCATCACTTCCAGCTGACTAAAACAAAACTTCACTTTACCTTGTCCCTCATCCAAGTCATTCCCGGGAGCTGTCCAAGACAAGTGAATTTTATCTTCTTCAAACTGAGCCTCAAGGTCAGTAATTTTACAGGGTGGGAACACATCAATAATTCCTCCTGATGGAACATTCTTCACTACAAAAGAACCTCCTGTTGCAACTCTATTGAAACTTCCTAGCTTTGCTTGAATTTCATCATCACTAACTTCAGGTCTCGGTGCATTTATTTTGATTTCACCTGCCCCCAAAAAGAAAAAACAATTGCTCATGCTATCTGAATATTACAAAACTCCAAATCATAACACACTTTTTTTTTATCTAGCATTCCTTCTGCCTTTAATCTACATTTTTTCTTTGGCTTATTGAAGTTTAGTGCAAAAATTAGCAAGGCTAAAAACCAAAGTGAACTTCAGGATCCTGCATCCTTCCACAAAACCAAAAGCAAACCAGATTTCAAGTGCAGTTGAAAGTAGCAACAGTGCCTATTACCCATTAGGGTATTTAAGGTATTAAGCAGGTGTCAGTGGGAAGTGGTTGTGATAAGGTAGCTTCCACCCATCTCTTCCTAGATATTGCAGGCAGCATAAGAATTACAACCTTGTAGGAATTTCCTTACTTTTCTGGGTTTAAGTTGGACACATTTTTATGTAGACTTTTTTATTCAGTATATTCTAATTTTCTAGGAATACAGAAAATTGTTTCTGTGTGTACGTGCACTCACGTGTGCAAGAAGGAGGATATGAAATGCAAAAGCTAACATTAATCTAAAATTAAGGTTGAGAAACCAGGCACTCAAAAGTCAAGAAATTCCAAAACCTAAGTTTTCTACCACCATATTATAGATATATATCTTTACTCCTGCGGGGGTTTTGTACAACTGCATGCATGCATAATTAATAAGCCCCGCATATTTGTATTTTTTTGTGCAGAAAAAGCTTCAGCTGAAATGTTGCTGCAGTTCTGCCTTTTGCCCACCAGAGGGTGCTGTGGCTATAGAACAAAGCAGCAGCTCACAGCCATCTAAAGAAGAAACAGCCTGCCTTCTTCCAAGCGCCTGTCAAGCCAGGTGAGGAGATCGGGGCTATTGGGAGACAGACAGCCTGGGATGTGTGTGTGGCGGGGGGGGTCAGACAGGGGCTTATAAGGGCTAGTGGGGGAGAACAGACTGGGGCAGGGGCTGAATGGGAGTGGAGGCACAGGGCCACAGGAGGGAGGGGGAAGGAGGTGCAGAGCTACATAGGGACAGAGGGTGGCTGGGTGGGGGCACAGAGACACATTGGGACAGGGGGTGGGGTACAGGGACACAGGGACAGGGGAGTGGCTGGATGGGGGCACAGAGACACATGGGACAGAGGCGGGGATACAGAGCAACATAGGGACAGGGGGAGGGGGTGCAGGGCCACATGGGGATGGGGGGAATGGGTATCTGAGTGGGAGTGGAGGGACACATTGACAGGGGAAGATGTGCCTGACTGCATGGGAGAGGCTAGGGGTCAGCCACGGTCTGCATGGGGGAAGCTCCCTAACAATCCCTCCCCGCCCCCCCAAAAAACCCTTGTTCCATACTTTTCCCACCCATACCCAACAACCCTCCAGGTTCACACCCATGCTCCTTCCCAGCAATTTACTTTCCTGTCCCTCCGCTCCTCCATTACCCCTGACTCCCCCAAGCCTTTGCACTGCTTCTGAGGGCTGTGGGAAATACAGTTCCTTATTGTAGTTTAAATGAATTATTACTCAGAGTTCTGTATTAATATGCCTAGTAAGGAATCTACTTGTCAAAAAACATTTCCTGAATCTTTTTTGTTGTCTGTATTGTTACAGACATACTTGCTGGCAGGTATTTTGAAATAAATGACCAAAAATAATGGAAACTGGTGTGATTCTATTGTGTTATTTTGACAAATAAAATATGCAGAATTTTGCAGATTTTAAAATATTGTGCGGAGAATTTTCAATTTTTTGTTGCAGAATTCCCCCAGGAGTAATAATATATATATTTACCATCATATTGCACAATTTGCTGGGGTGGGGTTTTTTTGGGGGTGGGGAGGTTTACTGGTAAAATAGCGTTAAGGTGTATATTTAACAAGGAAAACAGGAACAGGAAATATTACATTGTGTGATGTAGCCAAGTGAACACTGAGGTACAAATCTTAACTGTTGGAACCTCCTGAGGGTTTGGGGTGCCTAATATCTCAAGCTTGGAGTGTGGTTCTTACTCAGTAGAGCTGTCACTCTGTCTACCCAGAGTCAGATCTGCTGGATTAAATGGAAAAAGTAAGTTACTATTTTTCCCCACAAACAAACTGTTGTTAATCAAGTTCCATTGCAGAGGAAACTCTGTAACTAATGCCTTCGAATTATTCCCCCAGTTACACTTGTGCAATCCCACTGAAGGCCATAGGGTTGCATAGATATACTGAGCATGGCATTAGGCTTGCAGACCCTGATGACAATGCACAAGCCAGAAAGAACACAACTTGATTTTCAGATCCTAGGCTGAGTCTGCAGGGCTGGGAGTTAAAACAGCCCTGTTGCTAACCTGTAACTAGAGCAAATTTGTTCTGGAGCAATTGAGAAAACAAGTGTAGAATTTGACAATACTATTTTTACAAAGTCATTTTTCAGAATAAAACTATATTTTAATGATGAATTAACTGTTTTCATTGCACTTGATTTCTTTGGGCCCTTAGATCAAAAGAGAAATGCAAAAATAATGGAAAGATGAAAAAATATACTAAGTCACAACACACTGGTAACAGACTCATAAAAATATCATTAACTGAAGCTCCACTGATTGAGAAGGCTTAAGCATTAATATTTTAATAGCAGTATCCATACCTGTGGTTTCTGGAACTGAGGATCTTAAACTCACACAGGCCTAATGGGAAAGAGTCCCAAACAAAGTGTCCAGAAAACCCAACAGAAGAACAGAAAAATTCTCATGGGAGGCATTAAACAGATAACTTTAAAATTTCATAACTTTGAAACTGATTCCCTGAAATCTCATTTTTAACTCTCAGTGAAACACACAAATTTAAAATTTCTAACTTCAGCTGATTTTTAATATGATTTTCAGTTCCAGGATCTCTAGCAACTCCCACTTGTTCCAAAGAGCACTTAATTATTAATATATATATATATATATAATGTGGTACTATACCCAGTGCTCATATATAGCAAAAATACTGTGGTTCCAGCTACTGTTTTCTAAAAGTATAAACAATAGTGGAAAAGATACATGTAACAAATGTTAAGGTTAAAAATCTTTTTGTGAAGCTAAATGATCTCCCATTCACCCATATTCTTACACATGCAGAGAAAGAGAGAGAGTATTTTCTATTTCATGAATGTTCCTTACCATTTTCTATGTAGCCTGGAACATACAAGGCTCGGCTCTGCCTGCGGCCAAGTCTGACAGTCTGATTTCTCCCCTGGATATGCACTTTTAAGTTGTATCTACCATTTCCCTTGAAAGTTGTAAAGTACTTTGAATAGATTCCATCATTCTTGGTAATATCAGCACCTAGACATACAAACAGTAATAATTAACCATCCAAACAAGGTACCTTTTTTAAGCAAGGGCATTTTTTTGCTGTTCAGTTCAGAAACACATAGGGCCTACTCCTTCTTCTATTGAAATCAAGAAGAGCTTTGATACGGACTTAGGTGAAAACAGGATCGGTCCCATTGTGGTGACATGAGCTCATTACATATTTAACTGGAGATAACAATGTAGCATTAAAACATGTTACTGTGTATTTACTGTTTCCAATAGTAACCAATAGGCCAGTAGTTCTCAACTGCTTCTTAGTAGTTCACCATAGTCGTCTGATCTGTGGAGCCCTTCTTGGTGGTCTGCAGACTAAAATACTTTGAGATTGAAGCAATGCTGGAATGTGGGGAGGAGAGAGTCTACAGTTTGCATGACATGGTTCAGATAATGGAGAAGTTGGAGAACAACAGAACTGTGCATTTGAATCATCTCTGTAGGCACAGTAGATTGGAAAAGGAGAATAATAATCTATGTAATTCATACTTTCAAAGGAGATATTTTTAACATAGTTATACTGCCTCTATAGCATGTGACAAGCTATAGAAACAGACTCTCGCTCTCCTGTTCTGCCACCTGCATCCCCTCTGCAGGGCAGACCAGTATGTAAAATATACATAAGTTCAAACAGTGAATATGGTTGAATCAGACCCACAAGGCAATGGACCCCCTTCTGTCCCTGTGCTGGCTATTTGCATCATGGGTAACAGCACAGGCGAGGAGAAGGCTCTGCACAACCACGACACTCCCTTCTTCTTGGGCGCAGTTTCTCTCTCTCCTCCTTCCTTCCTAATACACCCAATAGTGTAAGTGCACCAGCATGTCAGGGCACACATGCTGCACCAGTTTAGACCCAGTGCAGTTTATTCTCATCGTGAAGCAGTGGGGAGACCAGAGTTACCATCTCCCTCCACTTACTACCCCTTGTTCTGTAATCATGGCATAGGCATGACTGAACCCTTAGTGATAAGTTTGGAAGCAGCGTGCAAAGACATTCTAAAATACATACCACAAAACAGGGAGTGCATACATTGCTAGACAAAAATGTAAGGAAAGTAATTATCACATTACCGGAACCATCATCAAGGAGTCTGAGCTCCACTGCAGATCCAGTCTGTGGTTCAACAGTGGCCATCACGGTTGCACCAAGAACAGGCAAAAATCCTTGACTAACTTCTGCATAAATCACCATTGGATTAGGGAAGTTGTTTGTATCCTTATTCATGTGGGCTTTCACAGTCACTGGAGGCACAGCCAAAGATGCTGGTCGAGATGTTACTATCATTGATATGACTTGAGAGACTGTGTGATTATTTTGAATCCAATACAACCAATCTCCCACCTGCAAATCAAATAGATAGAATATAAAAATATAATGTAAGACTTCATTATTCAAAGGGCAGCTTTGTGTTTCCCTTAGTTAATTTTTATCTTATTTTCCAAGGCACAAAGGGCAGTTAGGGTATTGCTACAGGAACATAGCTGAGGTAATTTGGGTACCTTACTTATGATTCTTCATGCTCTCAAATGTTTGGTTTCTTTTAAATTTAACCTTATATCTGAATTTACTCAGTTTTAGTGGTGGATGTTTGAGAATTATCACATTCTTGGAAGGATTAGAACCTGTATATTATAGATATGTACTCTCAACCTTAATTTCCCCTGAATTCAATGTTTTGTCCAGGAGGAATATATGTTTATAACTTCTAAAAAGAGAAGGTACACTTTAGTCTATGAAAATGTTAACATGTTTGGATAATAAAAGAAAGTTTAGTCTTTACCTCTGCAGTACCTGCTATATTCAGTCGAGCTGTTCGGAGGTTTAGATCACTAACTGTGAAGTTTGATGTTCTATATTCTTTTCCTTTGGGGTCCCGCAGTAAAATGTCTGGTGGAGATGTGCTTCGATCCCACGTAACTACAAAGAAGGTGTCCTTTCCCACAGTGCTATCTACAGTCACTGTACCATTCATCCACTGCTTGACTGCGACACTCTGAGCTGTACTTTCAAGCTATTAGACAAATAAAATATGATTTATGGCTATTTAGCAGATAAACACTTAAAATGCTAGTAATTTTAGAATGGTTCATTTTCCTCTTAAAGAGGAGAACAAATCAATATTTTGTTTATTCAGAGGGCATCTTGACTGGCTGGTGGACAACTGGCCCACTGCTGGAAGATGGGACAGAGGAGAATTAATGCTGGCACCACCCTGAGCAGGTCTCTGCTGTTCTGTGCAGAGCTCAGGGTTGTGCAAAGGAGGAAGAAGCCTCCTGCCACTGTGCCTCCACTCCTGGGGAACTAGCTGGCGGGCGAGGGTCACGTGGACTAGCCATTGAAGGGAGTGAAATGATGAAGCCCTGAGCAAATTTTCTGTAATGCCCATTTGCAGAGTACAATTGCTTAAGAATGTGAAGTATAGTAACCAAGGGTCTCTTGCCACTGCTCTTTGTGGTCTATCCACCTAGCTATCAAATGACGTCTGTGCAGGTGATTAGTGCTAAATTTCCTCTCCATCTGTCAGCCTGTTTCATCTATATATATGTTTCATCACAGGCTCAAAAGATGTGAATACCTCAAATTAAAAAAATGCTGTTAGTTTTTGTCTCTCTTGCTAGCTGCTTGTCACACTCTTTTTTGGCCTTCCTAATTATACTTCTGCACTTGATTTCCAAGAGTTTGTTCTGTTCTATTTTTCTCAGTAGGATTTGCCTTCCAATTTTTAAAACATGTCTTTTTGTTTCTAACCACATCTGTTTACTCTGCTGTTTAGTCATAATGGCACTGTTTTGGTCCTCTTCCTGTTTTGTTTGAGTACATCAGAAGCAGGAAGCCTGTCAAACAATCAGTGAGGCCATTGGATGATCAAAGTGCTAAAGGAGCACTCAAGGAAAACAAGAGCTTCGTGGAGAAGTTAAATTAATTATTTGCATCAATCTTCACTGCAGAGGATGTGAGGGAGGTTCCCACACCTGAGCCATTCTTTTTAGGTCACAAATTTGAGAAACTATCCCAGACTGAGGTGCCAGTGTAGGAGTTTTTGGAACAATCAGATAAATTAAACAGTAATAAGTCACCAGGACCAGATGGTATTCACTCAAGAGTTCTTAGAGAACTCAAATATGAAATTGGAGAACTACTAACTGTGATATGTAACCTATTACTTAAATCAGCCTCTGTACCATATGACTGGTGGATAACTAATGTAATGCTGAGTTTTTAATAAAGTTCCAAAGGCGATCCTGGCAATTACAGGGCAGTAAGCCCAACTCCAGTACCAGGCAAATTGGTTGAAACTAGTAAAGAACAGAATTATTGGACTAATAGATGAATGTGATATATTGGGCAAGAGTCAATATGGCTTCTGTAAAGGGGAATCATGTCTCACCAATCTAATAAGAAAGTAAATATCATAATGATGCTATAAAATCCATGATATGCCCACACCTTGAATGCTGTGTGCAGTTCTGGTAGCCCCATCTCAAAAAAAGAGATATTAGAATTGGAAAAAGTACAGAGAAGGGGGAGAAATGATTAGGTATATGGAACAGCTTCCATATGAGAAGAGAATAAAAGGACTTTGACTGTTCAATTTATAAAAATGACTAAGGGGAGATATAATAGAGGTATATAAAATCACAAATGGTGTGGAGAAAGTGAATAATTAGTCTGTACTGGGCTAGCTTGATTATCACTTCAAAAGTTTTTTTCTTTTACTTAATTGGCCTCTCAGAGTTGGTAAGACAACTCCCACCTGTTCATGCTCTCTGTATGTGTGTGTATATATCTCCTCAATACATGTTTCACTCTATATGCATCCGAAGAAGTGGGCTGTAGTCCACGAAAGCTTATGCTCTAATAAATTTATTAGTCTCTAAGGTGCCACAAGTACTCCTGTTCTTCTTTTTGCGGATACAGACTAACACGGCTGCTACTCTGAAATTAGTCTCTAAGGTGCCACAAGTACTCCTGTTCTTTTTGCAAATCTATATTAGTTGCTATGCATGATTCAGATAAAGTGCAAAACTGGGTCCATAGCAGAGATTTAACAAAGTGAGGGATGAGTTGTTAAGTTACAGATAGCACAACCCAAGAGCTGTTGTAGCAATAGGAGAAGGGGATAACTCAGTACTACTAGTCTCAATTATTTTGAAGAAATCATCGCTGAGTTGAAATGGATGATGAGAAGTGCCAGGAAAGCTGGGAATGAAAATGTTATCTATTGTTTAGAAGAGAAGCAGTTGAGATAGTTTCCCCATTATTGATAATGTTAATATAGTAACAAGATCACTTATTTACAGCATTCTACAGAGGAGTGACCACACATACTATGGTATTTCTGCCTACCTCTAGCTGTATAAGTCCCTTTGCATTAGCTAATTGTGAGTAATTTTAATTTTCTTTGTTTCATTGTCTGTTTCATTTTTCTTGTTAATATAACAGACCACAAAAATAAATAAATCCCACTGCTATTTCCAAATAACAGTTTATATTTTAAGATCAGTCACTGGCAGTGCAATAGTTAAGATTACAGCCTATTAAAATTACTCTTAATTGACCAGTAACTGATTAATAATATGAAAAAAAAACCAAATTTGAAACTCAGACCTGAATAGACTGTTCAGAAATATTTCCACTTCCTGATGAAATTCCACTGAATGCATCTTGTAGGCCATTGGAATCAACTGTATCTGTGGCATAAAACTTTAAGCCTCCTGAAATGTGATTGTTAAAATAATCAGAATAGTCATTTACTGTAAAAACATAGGTTTTGTTAGTTTGGTTGTTGCTATAGAGCACAGTGTTAATTTGATAAATTAAATATTGGTCCCTTATTATCCTTTATTCATGGGGCAGTGCAGGGAGGAACCGCTGGGTGGTGGGGAATCAATTCATACAAACACCCAGAGAGTTCCTGCAGAAAACAAATCTGACCTGGGAAATGATCCTATCTGTTCACATTTTAATTCCACCTAACTTGGTCTGACTAAGAATTGTCACCAATAACACTTCATCAAGTACTGTGCTCACTCATTGGCTGTTCTTGGTAAGTCTGGACTCTGAGCCATGGACCTGTAAAGTGCAATTTCACTCTGAAAAACACCTCTGTCAAAATGACATGGTGGAATTCCAAGATTATTGCTTCCCAGTGACTCAGATCAAATCTGCTTAGTTTACAAATACAACGTTTGTGCCTCTTTTTCATTTGTGCTGAGCACCCATAATGCCAATGGGAACTTCTGGTGCGCAGTGTCTTTGGAAATCTGGCCGTTTATTTCAAACAGTGAGCCCTGCCCACTGAGACTGGGCTCTGAAAGACCAGCTGGGTTCTTTCTGGCTCACACATCAACCACTTAACACTAAAGATTCTGTGATCAGAACTTAGTGAACTATTCTGTTATAATACACAAACCAGAACAGAATTCAGGTTGTTCTCTCACAGCCATGTTGGCTGTACAGTGCTAACAAGAGTAAAAAGCAGTACAATCTTATTTAAGTCCCTAAAGCAAGCAGATGTGACTCTGAATACACAAAAGGAGCATCTCAGTTGACTAAGAAGGTGCCATTTATACATAGTCACTATTCAGAGTACAGCTACATTCTAAATCAACACATGGAATTCCCATGGTAGTTGCCCTGTACTGCAGCATCACCCAGCACCCATCTGGCTTTCTTTAAAATGGCTGAAGTTCAAAGTAACAGTGCAGCTCCAACTCAAAGCAGAGCTGACTGAGTCTCCAAGTTGCAAGTATAGAGACTGTGGTTGTTGACTCCTCAACTAAAGTCCTCCAGCTGTGACTGTTTGTGAGTTGGTCATTATTTAACTACTTAGGACATTAATAGGTTTGCATATCACTGCTATGTAAACATCAGAAATAAAATGTTAATGATTTAAACACTGAGCTTATCTTTTTGTTTAGAGGAACATCCTCCAGTAATATAATTATCAAACCTTGCTATTAAGTAGGGTGTTATCAGGATACAGATTTTTTAAAGCAACAATAGATAAAAAATAAATAATTGCTCCCAATATTATTGTGTTTATTCAGCTGAAAATAAATATTCTGTATATACGACTGGAATTAGTTGACTTTATTTTTTTTCCCTTCTACAAGCTGTAAACCACTCTAGTTTTACATTTCTTACATGCTTAAGGTGTGTGCATGCCAAAAGCAGGATTAGTTTAGAAACTTACTTACCTGTCATGTCTGAAAATTGTTCTAGTTCTGGAGCAGCACTTGGCCCCAAGGCAATGGTGTGAATGATCGATCCACTGTCTTCCACCTCCTTAAGGCAAATGCTCATACCTGAATCCTCTCCATCTGTCAGCAATACAATTTCAGAACCATCGAGATTAGAGTATTTTTGTTTAATCACCTGAATTGAGAAGAAAATTTCAGGTATTAGCAATAGGACTTTATTGTAAATGTTAGCTGCTCTAACACAGGCAGTGTCTACATCAAGAGAAATTCCTAAAGTGCAAGTGTAAGGCAAAATCTTTTCCTTACAGGTGTGAATTGTGCTGGTGTAGGAGGCTGTGTCATGTGGCAAGAGTTGAATTGAAGGTGTTTGAATTACATTGCCTGTACAGGGCAGGATGGTTCAGGGGAGAGGTGTCTAGCACACTCCTTACAGCACACTCCTTACAGCATTCCAAGTAGTAGTAATGCGTGTGTCTGCCGGACCCCACTCCAGGTCCTGCAGCCAATGACAGCATATGCACAGGGCATGTGGAAGCCTGTCCATGCCCATTCTGTAAAGTGACTTGAGAAATCATGGAGCATGAAGGTACCATTTTACATAAGCCCTTTTAAGAATAAAACCATGCTTAAACCAATGTTAAAATAAACAAAATTTGGATTTTCTATATGAGAAATTATATGATTATGATCTTCTGCACAACGCCTTGAGCAAAGCATTCTTGTAAGACTTTCTGAAAGCAATCTTAATTTTTTTGCTAGTATAAACATAGCAGGGCCTTGTTAATTTCTTAGGTCCTGAACCTGCTCCCATTGAACTAACTTGATTGAGCTTCCTAAATTTCTCACTATAAAACACATTTTCCAAACATTTAATTGTTCTTGTAGCTCTATTCTGAACCCCTTCCAGTTTCCCCAACATCCTCTCTGAAATGTGGCCACCAGAACCAGAGACAGTATTTCAGTGATAGTCTCAGTACTGCTGTACACAGAGGTGATATCACCTCCTTATTCCTACTCACTATTCTCCTCCTAGTTCCATTTCATTATCACGGCATTCCAGGACACATTCCCCGCAAGTTCTCCTTCACCTCAAATCCTTTGCGTACTCCTGCACAGATGTTAGTTCCTCCACCAGCTGATTTAGGCAGGTATTTGATAAGATCCTGGCGTACATTCTCACTGACTATTTGTCGTAGATTAGATGTAATTTGTGCTGTAGATTCGAATGTGACAATTCCAACCCAGGAACCCATTTCGATAATTTGTAGCAGGAATATCTCCGCAGCTTGGTACAGATGTTTAATGCGGTTATACTGCAGGTGAAGAAAGGGACGTACTTAGAACTATCAAGGCTTTTCAAGAGAGATAGCAAAAAGCAAGAATACAGCAATTACTAATTTTGTTCAGTTTGTACTGATAAATGGGAATGTACCTGCCATAGAGCAGATGAGAGATTTGAGGGGAAAATATGGAAAATTAAACAAATACCCAATATCTGGGTAGCCCAAACTACCAGGCATATTCTTTCCAGACCAGTGGAGATGTGTACTTTGTTCTGCTATCATGGAAGGGTATCTGCATATTGAAACATCCAGGAGATATATAACTGTGTCAACCAAACAGCATTCTAATAATGTGGTGACATTCCTCACAAATAAGGTTTTCTCTTTCACATAACTTGTTTAGGTAAAATGGCTGCAGCCTCAGAGAACAGCATTCTACCTACCTATACTTTAGGATAGCCCCTCTATTTCACAGGTTCCTGGCACTTTGAAAATTTGGTAATTACAGTGAAAGAGTTTATTTTAAATATAAATATTTGAACAGATTGCTGAAAACCAGCTGAGAAAGTTTACCTTTTGAAGCTTTCCTTTCTCTATAAAACTAGCTGTCATTATTCTTGATCTAGTTAAGGATTCTCTTCCTCTCCTGTATTAAGATTAAGGGATGGGCTAATTTATATCGTTTATCTCAGGAAATCTAGTACTTGTTTGCCTCTCAATAGCTTTGGGTTGAATTTGATGCTAATGATAGTAAAATGCTCATAGTACTAGTCCACATAAGCTTTTCCAATCTGAAATCTCTCCAGAAGAAGGAATGCTAGCTGTATCAAAACATTTGGTTGTGAGATGGGGATGGATAATTATTAGAGAACACCACATTCATTTTCACTTGTGATCTAGAATTTGAAGTATTATCTCTAGAGAGAAAAGTTTGGTGCAGTTACATCCTGTGCCAGTCTCAGTCCCTAGTTGGGTGATTTCATAGCATGTGTCATGCATGACAGACATTTATCACATCATAACTTCACTAGATAATTTGGGAAAACTGTCAATCTTTGCTGAAGATCAGTCCCAGGGATGGACTTGTATGGTGTGGCATGGCAGGAATAAATTGTGTTGGCAGAGCAGTTTAGGGGAAGCTTACACAGGGTATAACTGCCCTGTACCTGCTTTCAGACAGGGTTTAGTACTTTACTTTCAAGAGCACTGAATTCCATTCTGCTCAACTGTAGCTCATCGCAAAATGCACCACTTATTTGAGATCCATATCTTTCTTTGTCACAAAGCAAATGAAATTATGATTTAATATTGAGAAATACTCAATTACAAAACTGAAAGCATATAAAACATTATATAGTAACCTGTAGGCCACAGAAATACGTCATATGCCATTTTAAGCATCTTCCTGTAGATTTTCATTGAATTTATTATTGTGGGTTTGTGTCAAATATTTTAAGAGACGCTCACAACCTGTTTAAGCCCCATAAATTATCTTTCTGAGAAAGAAGATGGATACCATACACCATCCTTTACAAATTCCATACCATAAGCCTAAGATTTTTTTATCAAAACTTCATCATTTGGTTCCTCAGTGGAGTTATGTTGATTGTTGAACTGAAGACCTAAAATATTTGTATTTTAAAGAAAGTGATAGTAAAACTCTTATTTATACTATATAATAATATATATGGAGTACATGATAGTGTGATATAGCATGAACTGGGGATTCTTATGTTATTCCTTGATGATGAAATTTTGAGTGACCATATTCGATATGATAGAAAAAAGCATTCTTGGAATGTTTTAGAGAGGTCTTAATATTTTTATATTGGGACTATTTTTTATCCCCTACCTGTAAAGCCAGGTGCCTTTGTTATCATTATTCAACCCATAGAGGGCTCATAAAGACTCCTAAAAATTACATAAGTGTATTTCCAGACATTAAGAGGCCACAATTTTAAAGCGAGATATCTGGGGTCTCTCCAGGGCACAAAAGGATGTTGTGCCTCCCACAGGGAAGCTGAGGATCTTCTCTTTCCAGTATGGTGGGAAGGTCCTATTTCTAGCCCTTAAGGTCGTTAGATATCAAACTTGAAAGTTGTAACATATTTGAGAACAGATGTCATCACTAGCTCCGGATTGAATGTTTGAAACAAATAAATTAGGGATGATGAAATTCTGTATATTAGGGAAAGAATACAACAGAGGTTCATATAAAAATAGCTCTTGGAAGTTGGGTAGTGCTTTGGAATGTAAGAATAAAACCTGGGGAGATGGATTTATGGTCAGAAGGCTGGTGAAGCTTGAAAAGGTACAGGATAAATTGCAAAAAATGTGGCAAACTTATCAGATGATTCTCACTTCTACGTGATATTTATACATATGAACACATATTATTCAGGAAGGTTATATTGGATTTACTTTAAGAATGGTAAATTTGAGGCCCTAAACAGATATATTTTCCATTTGGGGGAAGTACAGTGGTTCTGACATTCTGGATCTGAAACTAAAAAGAGGAGCACAAGTTATATTTTGTAAAGAAAAAGAGACCAAGTCTGGCATATCATTTTTAGGAATTTGATGAGTTTCCTTTTAGCAATCCCTAAATATGTATTATTGGAGAAATAGTGGCCTCAATTTTTTCTTAAAGAATAAAGGATGATTACGGAAATATTGACTAAAGAAAATACTGTAATATATATACAACACATTGTTTTATAACTGCCTGTTTCTAAGCAGTTCTGCTAAAAAAAAGAACGTGTATATTTTTTCTTACCCCAGCCATGCTCCCAGAAACATCAAGTACTAGACAGACTGCTCTGTCTTTGGTCTGCAGCAATGAGAAGGAGGTCTCAAATGGAGGACTTGCGCTATTTATTGGAGAGGTGTTACTGAAGTCAGTAGAGTTCATAATTACTTCCCAGGTGCTGTGGTAGTTACACATTTTGTTCTGCAGATTTGTAGCCTTTTCATTATGAGTACTTTGATCACAGAACTCAACCACCTAAAAAAAGCCAATTGGAAGAGAAGAATGATTACTGAAAAGCAAGTGAACTCG